GTTTTATGTATCGAGAACAGTAGGGGAGAAACGGAGAAGTAATATCCGCGACCGACTGTTTTTGACGGGAATTGTATATAGTGTTGCGTTGGGTTTTAGTGGTCGTAATAATGAAGCTCTTTCACCACAAGAAAACGTTGGGGTATCGTAATTTAATACCGTGCATACTTTTGATTTACGCTTGAAGAACAAAGTATCGTTGAAATAGATTATCAATAATTTATGTATAAAAAATCGGAATAGGTAGGTACGTCAAGTCATTGTTAGTGCCTTTTTCAAACTTGCAACTGTCACACACAAAATAAAGTTTCCAATGTCAATCAACAGAAAAACTTTTCAAGCATATGTACAAAAAAAAAAAAAAAAATTATCCTCTCATAAACCTTGATGACACGTTTATAACCAAATAAAAATCATAGTGAAAAAAAAAAAGAAATTTGAGAATAACAATAGTTTACAGTTTTTTTTTTACAATTATAAAAATCTTTTATCATTCTTGACCTCATTTCTTCCTTCGAGATATTATATCTGGACACTAAAAATGCAAATAAAAAAAGAAATCAATGGTTCCACCTTGGTAGCTCGGAAGCAATGGCAGTTGGTCAAGTGATCGTAAAGAAAAACATAAAACATACAAGAATTGATGGGAGCTTGTGGGTGTTTGATCGATTAAGTGATCAAATTGTCCTACGTTTGTGTAATTATATATTATATCCTTCATTTCGGTGTACAGGCATTTACACAAATACACAAAGAAAATTATTTTCATGAAACCTTTTCTTACGCTCACTTTTACGAAATATTACTACACGTTAAGTAAAAAATTTTGCAATTCAAGTATGGAACACATGAAGCATGTATCGGTGCAGTCACTTTGACAAGTACACGAGATATGTAACATAATCCAGCTAACAGCGAGAGTTTCCAGTCCATTGTCAGTGGTAAACCACAACAATGCACCTCGTCTCGAATATATACATTAGCCCATTTCCGAGGGACAACGCAACGCGTTTTCTACGTCGAGGCTTCTCCCATTAACAAAAAAATCTAAATTCGGGCCCCCAACGATTTAATTAACGAGATCCTCAAAAGCAATAGCAGCTCAAAGAGAAAGTATCGAAAAACAATGTGCCGCGGCCTTTCCGCGCGAGCCCCGTGTCGGTCGAGCAGTAGTACGAGTCAAGCTACGGTCGGACACGCGACTGCACGAAGATTCCTGGCTCTCTTGTGGAGTAATTACGCCTTCCCCGGGGCACTTGAGGCTCTCTCTTCGCACGCCAACAGTAAACTGGAACAACACGAGTGACGTCTAATAAATATGCTAATGGCCGCGAGGAGGCCCTTAACGCAGGTTATCTCTCGACGATGGCAACAGCAAGGTGTCACGAGGAGGTGAATCCCCCCCGGACTCCTACATATGCCTCGCTCGCTCATCTCAACCACCTCGCGGTGGCTTCCCCCTTGCCTTTGTCACCGGACGTGTGTGTGTTAGGCCCCTTACACCGGTCACTATGCACGCCAGTGGTCCCCGATTTTGGTTCGCTTTTATCTGTAAGAGAGCGAGGCGCACTTTTTGTCCGATACAGTTGCGCAACGATTTACGGGATTCCACTGTATACATGATACAATGTAGACCCATTTCGGACAAAAAGCCCCGCGTATACGAGCCATCTGCCGGAACGTTTCCACTGACCTATATTTTATTCTCAATCAAAGCGCGAGCACTTAACCTCGAGCAATTTTCTTTCTCTCCGCACCGTGCAATAGTATACATGTGTGTGTACACAGAGGCCGCGTCTCCGTCTCTCATGAATTTATAGATGCATAAATATATATTTTTTATTTTCCGAATCTGAATTGCAAATGCTGGATCGAGACTCTCGTTCGAGCGCGAGTGCATTTAAATAACGAATCAATTGCGTCCTTTGGTGCCAAGTTTTTCTTTTTTTTTTTTTTTTTTTTTTATTTACGCCAGTGGTACGTGTATGGTGTTTTTCGTTAAAACGTATTGTAAACCCTCCCGCGAGTGTGGCGCGGAGGAATAAGTATTAATACGAGCGATGAGTCCTCGTTTTCTGTTACGCGAGGGTATAAAGATTTATCGACCGAGGAAATAAAAACCGGTGGAACCCCTCTCCGACCGAAAGTTGCAAATTCACGAATTTCATCCGGCGCTACACGAAGTGAAACGCCAGTTCAAGCCCAAAACGGAATATTGTACTCCTCGTCGGGACACGCGACTTGTAGGGCAGGCGATAATAACTATCTAATGCTTGCAAAAACAACCGGAGGAAGAATAGTCGCAGCATGATGAATGTCCTATTTAATGGTCCTCCAAAAAATAATATCGTCCCTCCCCGGTGGGCGTCGTCGATCATCGGATCAAACGGAGCACGTATATATACATATATATACACGCGAGTCTCTATCTCATACGTGGCAGCTGCTTCTTAACTTCACCGTTGCATTCGCGAATTTTTTTTTTTTTCCTCCGCCTCGAGAGTTGCGCGAAAGAGGCTTTTTTTCCGTGCCTAAATAAATCACGCCGTCGTTTTAACGCGCTGCTGAGGCTTTTTAAAAGTTGGATTGAGTTTTCGACGAGTTCCCCTCCTTTTTTTCCACTCTCTCTCTTTTTTAGAGAGTCCCTTGCAGAGCCTTGGAAAACAAGTTTATTTGCCACTCCTGAAAATTTAACGCCCAAATTAAGCAAAACCTCCACCAGCTCTGCCGCGCGTCCTCGAGAGCTTATCAATTATTCCAATCTCACGCAGACATTGTCAGAGAGACTGGAGCGCGGTATATTTGGGTCAGAAGTGATCTAGTCCCGCGTTATTAACGTTATGTATGTAGTCCGTGCACCGTGTATTCCACTACACACAATTTGCACTTAAATATTCACTCCGTGTTTGGACTCGGCATTACCGCTCGACCGCAACGAAAACAGAGCCTACATAGCTCGCGTGTACATGCGATGTGCTTCAATATTTGTAACGATGGGCATCAGTGGCACCATTGCTTTTGTGTGCACAGCCGAGTGATGGTGGGTTGTTTAGCTCACACGGAGCTTTGAGTTTCGCGTTCGGTGACGATACCTATACCTCCCACTTGTGTGTGTACACGGCCTGACTTTCCTATAACACATATCCATTGTGCGCGCTTTCTTTTTTTTTCGAGCTCATTGTGTCTTTTACGTGTGTGTGTGTGTGTGTTTGTGTGTACAAGCTCGGGGGAGGAGGATGGATTTCATATTTCATTGTTTGACTTGGCTCCTCCGACGGTTCTTTACATTTTTTCATTTTTTCTTTTTTTTTACCTACGTCACGTAGCTAATGGATTGCCATACTATACGCCAGTAGGTTATTAAACTACTTTGAAAAGCGTAACGTAACACTTGCGCCTACCTAATGATAAATACCATACACGTTGCTTTTTTTCTCTTATAGAATCCGAAATGGGGTAGGTATGACGGCACAGTGGTGGCAGCTGTGTTCATCCGGAAACCTCAATGTTGTGCAGTAATCTTTGAAAAATTTAACTCATTTTTTTCGTCTTGACCCCTGTTGAGTGCCATTTGACCTGCGGCACAACCTTTTCGGTCAGTGGTAAAATGGATGAAACACATTGGAATTAATGGTTCTATTACTTTTAAATGAAAATTTTAACGCAACTAACATTGCTTGAAATAACAGAGCTTCAAGAGTAGATGGTAACGATTTATAAAATATAAGCTTGTCAGATCGAGGGTTGGTATCTCCGGTTAGTTTTTCGGACTATCGCAGGGGATCACTAATAGGTGTTGGTTTGTCCATCATTTCGTTTCGTTACGCAAAAAATGCTTGTACATGCATCTTATTTGTAGAAAGGGGGCGATCAAAATAGGGCCGAGCAGATGTACCGGTGGTAGTGGTCGGACGACCGATAAGCCGATTCTGTCACGCGTGTGTGTATAACGCCACATTTTCTGGTACATCGAAGTTTGGGCGTATTGTCAACTGAATCCGGATTTGGATGCGCAGGCTTTCTTTTTTTCTCACTGCTCTAATAATAACAATATCTCATGTAAGCTAGAATAGTTGAAGCTAATTTTCATCTTTTAACCATTTCGGAATTAATACTTACATTCGTCTTTTGTTCAAAACTACACCAATATGAATGTTTATTAGTTGAAACAACGTTTGGTGTAATATATTTATCAATAAAATATTTATATTTTCAATCAATTTTCCAAAACCAAGCCAACTTCCCTTTTTTTTCGTAGCTTTGGATATATTTAAAACCATGCACGTGTATAAATCATACTGAAACATATTATATATGTATGTATCTTTGACACGTTGCGTGTCCACGCGTGGGCGTAGTATAATTTTTTTCGATCCCAACTTCTCACGTCTGGGCTGCAGTGCAACACCCTTAAAAATACCAGGCGCACGTGTCCGTGCATCGGGCGCACTCCGGCGTGCATGACAAACAAAATTTAAGTGAAACCTCGGGCCACGGGAAAAACGGCGAAAGAAACGACATGCACGAGGTAACCAGCGGTGCAGGAAACTTTGCCTACGGGCACAGTTTCAATAGAGAGCCGATATATCTCATGCGCGTGTGTGTATATACTTACGAGGAAAAAGCGAGGGCGTCCGCCGATATCGACAACGAGCAGCGCTGCGTATATGGGTTGGTTTTTTTTTCTTCGTCCATGCATGTGATTCTCATTAACACGTCGGGCGAAAGTTTGATGGGAAAAGTGTAAGGGGAAAAAAGAGCCACTAAATTGCATACGTTGGGTTAACGAGAAACTCGTGCCTCGCTTCTTTGTATTTGTTTTTTTATTTCAATACCATACCTCACTTTCTGATTATTTCAGTAAAAAATTTTGTACTTACGTGCATTTATTTCGTTTTGTTGATTTTACAATACATCTGGGAGATTGGGTTCAATGGTATAATATAATATGTTGATAGGAAACCAAGGCTAGGCTGAAAAAACAGAGGCAAACGACGTTGTTTTGGTTCACTTGAATTTAGTCATTTATTTCTTCACAGTGTTTTGCCTCTTGAAACGAGTGAATTTACAAACGGCAGATAAATAAAATTTACTCTCTTTCTCTCTCTCATCTCTACGAGTGATGGATGGGTAAACAGTTTACATTATTCTCTCATACGTTTTCTACAAATTTAATTTTCAATCGTTCTAAACAAGTTCATTCTAAACGGGTAGAGGTAGAGAAGCATCGGTACGCGCAACCCGATTTTTCAGCGAAACCAAAATTCAACCTCTCGTTATCGGTTTAGCTGAAAAATCATTGCCATCGCAACAGAAAAAAGTTGACAGCAAAGTCTGCGCGTGGGCCGATTTTCTATGAATATTAGTATCGTCAACAATTTGTTACCATTAAAAATGGGAAAATGAAGGAAAAATCACGAGGGGGGACAAAAAAAACAATTACGACTAAGAAGAGCTATCACGTACGGTGTGTGAATCTGTATATGCTTGGACAGTTAAAGGGACCGATGACCAGTGGCGCGTCACAATCGTCCTTCATGTTCTTTCTTTCCTCTCCCAGGAGATGTGTATTAATTTACTAAGTGTAGCGACGGTGACTGTACAATAATTGGGGCTGGCGGACTCTCTTGGCTCCGGTGGTACAAGCTTTCTCTCTGATGCTGCCGCTCCAGCTCGAGCTCTTTCTCTCGCTACTCCCCGATGCGGCCGTCCCCAGAGCCACGCTACTTTTTCTTCTGCAACATAGACACATGCAAACGTACAGATTTTTCGGAGGCTCTCTGCGACCGAAATTGCACGCCCGTAAATCAAACTGCGTGCTCGACATTTTATTTTATTTTATTTTTCTATTTCAAATGACCAGACCGTGTCTTTGTTGAACATATTTTTTTTTTCCGGTCCAAATGCACGTTCGCGTGCGTTTAATTTACGACATTTTATGCATGCCAAGTTTTTTTATTTTTTATTTTTTTTTTAGGCCGTCGGTATTTTTTCTTTTCCCAAGTGTGTCGGTACGGTGTATTTATATTCGGAGCAATTACGAGCACCGGTGTTTGCTTTGCTCTCGAGCAACTTTTGCTGCGCCCGTGTTTATTTGATCAAGTTTATGTGTATTTAATAACAATAATTGATAAAAAAAAATACCACGTGAAGCCAATTATTTATTTTTCCGCGCTCGGGTGGTTTTGGGAGGCTGGTACTTCCTCGGGCGAAAAAGCAGTTTTCCGGAACTCGTTCGAAAAGTCTCCTTTACGAACCTCGTTACGTCCCTCGCCTTCGGCTCGGGCCGCAAACAGAGACTTTTCAAACTCGTAGGAAAGCTACTATTTTTTATTACTCGCAAGTAGACCATACAAAGCAGATTAATAATTCAGAAAAAAAAAACATATAACTATTTAAAATCAATACGTAGTGGTTACCAGAGCTACGAAAAGTACAGGAAAGAAAAAAAAAGACTCATGCCAAAGTTCTCACCTTATCGCCACCGCCCATAAATATGAGGCTGTTCGCGCCAGCGTAGGCAACAAGCGACTCGACCGCCAGCTGCGTCTCCAGCAGTATTCTCGCCTCGTTCATCCAGTCGCGTGCCACACTGCGGGGCGCCCCCTTCAGCAGATTCATGTAGCGCAGCGTCATCTTGAAATCACCCCGGTCCAGCCAGTACCTGTTGTTGCGTACCACATTTTTTACTAGTTAAAATTTTTTTTTTTTCCCCAAAGACACTGCGAGCTGAGAATAACTCGTTGGGGGTGGGGTTTTAAATATCGGATCGATAAAAAGCGCAGGGTTGGAAAATGGCACTTGAAGCCGGAGGTATATCATGCGAAGGGACAATCTCGGCTCGCAGGAAAATCATAAGTCAGCGGGACAAATCTCCCTTTTTTTTTATATTTCCGGCCGATCGAGCAGAGCCAAATGACTCGAGGAAAATGGCTGCTTTTCAGCCAAGGCTAAGGAGCTCCGAAGAGAAAAAAAAAAGGGGGGGTAAGGGAGAGCTTTGCCGATAGCAAGACACGACTCGGAGGGTCCCCTCCTCCTCGCGATATCGCTTCTGTCACGGAGCCGGATAAATCAAGCTGATGGCCCGGAAAAGCGGGAAAACAACCTCTTACTCCGCTCTTGTACGCTCGAGGATGCAAAAAGATGGTGCGCTTGTAAATTACAGACCGCGAAACGCAGACGCAAGCTTTTACGTCTTTCCGCGCTCCAATTCAGCTCCGCTTAATTTTCCCGGGAATATAGCTCTTTCGGAACTTTTGGAAATGAACGCGCGAATCGCATTGTCCAGGTAGTGGGTCATCAAAAAAAAAAAAAATAATAATAAATAGGCCCTCGCTCTTTTTGTGTAGGTAAGATATCTCCGCGCGCGCTTTAAGAAGCATTAAAATACTCGAGAAGCCAAGAGCTAGACGGTACGAAAAAAAAAGCCACCTCCTCTCGCGGACAAGCTCTGCAGCGAAACAGGACGCCAACGACCAGAAAACAGTAGAAGCTCCTCGGAGATCCTTCTCCCATCCGTCCTGGAGATCTGAGTCCACCATGCAAATGCAAGACAACGTCCCACCGATACCCTTCCCCCGCCTTATCCACTACTCCCTTGGTCTCTCTCTCTCTTTTTTTGCAGCTTTTTATTCCTCCTGCGTCGCATTCCAAGTGCATGCAGTATTCCAGCCGCGTTCTGAAAGCCAGAGAGTCTCGCGTATACATGTATACTCAAAGGCCAGTGTCGCAAGGGTCGGACGCGCCTTTCCCTTACCTCGGATTATCCATCGCACGCGCGAGCTTTTCTCCATTACGCTGGGTTTTTTTTTTGTTTTTTTCCAATTTAGTTATTCACTGAATTTCGAGTCTACTCAATTGAAACTCGAGGGGATGAAAAAAAAGAAAGAGTAGACGAGAGGTAGTAATACACGCCGAAAGTTAGTTCGCCGATATTGGACCGAGGGGTACTGCACTACAAAGGGAGCTGATCGAAATTTGGTCACTTACTTGGGCCGAGTCTCAAACTCGGAATACATGAATACCGAATCGCTCGCTTGATGCAGGTATATACACCCCTTGGACCGAATCCTGTGTATATATATACGAAAGCGGAGGCGGATCAAAGACAAGCACGCGGAGAAATGTGCTGCCACGGGTTTGGCTACGGAATTTCTATTGAGAGTCGGTTTGTAACACCGTGAAGGTGCTCGTAAACTCACGGGGTATTTGTCGATCGGTAACGCGAAAAAGTGTCACGATGCTTGTAACCTAAATCTTGGATTTTGCAGTTGATGTCGTCGAATCGATCAAACGACCACTCGTCGAGGAAATAAACTACAATAAAGCAAATTGGATTACAACCATGGGTACACACATATATATATATATTTTTTTTTAACTTCTCTAGCTTCGAATTACTAATTTCCTGGAAATTTTATTTTGTCTCGCACATTACTAGCATATCACGTATGGCACCAAAAAATTATTACGGCGACGCCAACGAAGCCTCGATGTCGGATCTTCTCGCCCAATCCAAACGCCACTATTAACTTCAGAAGCATATTAACTTACTATCGCGTGAGTGCCACATGAAACGCAAAAAACTAAAAGNATATGTAAAAAAAAATCTGGGCGATTTTATGCAAATTCCAAGAGCCAAACTAGGCGACAATTTGAACATGGGGTAAGCTTTGTTTTTTTCACGCGTATGTACACGGAGTCGAATTTATCGCGAGAAGGTGGAGGGAGAGGAATAGCACTCGCGCGATTAGAATTCTCGCGTGGCGCATAAGCGCCATCAGACAAGACACCGGAGACCGTAGAGTCGCAAGGAAATGTCAAGCAGAGAGAATGGAATTCACGGCGTACAACACTGTTCATCGGATACACGGGTATATACCTACGAGAGCAAACGTTCGCTCGGCAAGTGGCGCAACGAGCAAACGCGCGTCATCTGTATATACACAACGCATTGCAGCAGCCCAATCCTATGATGTTTGCATCGTCTGAATTGACTTGGATCGGCTGACGCGAGGCTCATACATCGTGTATATACGCTGATGCGCTGTCAAAATAATTTACCCCTACGCGCAACGGTTTGAGGAAGCAGGGGAAATACTTCACGTATCACCCACCGGGTACATTTACAGCGGAGGAGAAGAAAGTAGCTGCAAAGAGTCACGTCAACATTTCTGCAATCGCCGACTTTTTGTTCCCGCCGGAGAAGAAGGAACGTGGGAAGGGAAGAAATATCCCAGACGTGACTGCACCAGAGAGTACAGATGAAAGAAAGGAAAAAAAAGCAACAATCACTATGTACATGTAGACATACAGACGTACCTCGAGCGCTGCAAAATCGCGTAGGTGTCGAGCGCCTCGACGTCGATCGGCTGGTCCGCGAGTTCGTGCTTGGGTATCGGACTGACGGCCTTGACGAGCAAAAAGTTCTGCAGGTAGCTCAGCAGGTAGACCGGCAGCGAGGCCCCCTCCTCCGGCACCAGAGCCAGTTTCCTTGCCATTTGCTCCACCTGTGCGTGTGGGTGTTTGCGCAAGACAAAGAGGAAGAAACGTAAGAGCCCGAACCGGCTTCCGTTTTTATTAAATTTCACACGTAGGTTGTAGCTACCCACATGTATATATTATACACTCACTGCAGACAAACAGAGACTATTTCTCGCGATGGCAATTCCGGCTTTACTTTAAATGTACTATTTTTCTTCCTTTCTCTCGACAACGTGTTTTTCCTAATAAGGGCGCGCGTCGTATACATTTTTTCGGATCCATCGGAGCATACTTTTTAATACTCATCGCGAGTAGTCAGTTCAATTAAATTTCAAGTTGACCGCGTGCATATATTATTACCCCAGCAATGAATTCACATGAAAATTTCAATGAACGCGCAGTTCGGAAGTTGTATATAGGTGAGGCTACAACCATAAGTTACCCGTCGGTGTCTTACTCGATGCACAAGGCCAAGCACGTACGTACCTTCATGAAGCGTTCCCTGAGAGCGTCTTCGGGATACACGCCACGTTTGACGGCCTCCTCGGGGATTCCCCGGATCGTGGCGGACACGAAGGCGTCTCCTTTCGCTGAAATCCCGCAACGAATTTTCAAACGATGCCTAGTGATGGGCGTTGCCTCTTGTGGCATACACCCCGTCATTGAGAGTTTCTCGGGGTATTTTTTTATTTTTATTTTGCAATTGGGAGTCAGGCTCGGGAATTTCATTAAGCTAACCCGCGAGTATGCGGGCCATGAGACGTGTATATTCAACGAAATGAACGGCCTCGGGTGTTTCGTTTAATTGATGAAGGACCACTGACGCGGGGGAGGGGGGGGTCCGGTACTTTGTTCGCGCCCGCGCGGCTGTTGTAACGTTTGTTTAATTTTGCTCTTAATTAAATTTGGCGCGACAATAGCGCGCTCGGATCGACTTTAGCGAGCAACTGGAGCGCGTGTGAAAGTGTAAATAAAAAAAAATTAAATGAATTCCAGGATCCACGCGGTTTCGTCTCACCAACCCTGCACCTACATTCGCTCCGTGCACAACTTTGAAACAGCGCCACCAACGGGAATAATTGTTCACACTTACCTAATAAAGTCTAATCTAATCTAATTAAAAAAAAAAAAAAAAAAAAATGTAAAAGCCGTCATGGCCCATAAGAGGATATATGTTATTCTTGTGAGAAAGTACCGCCGTTTTTATACCCATGCAGGTGGTGCTGTTTCAGATTGCTGCACGGAGCGAATAAACCCCCTAAAAATAATAACTCGATTCTTTTTCGTACACTTAGTTCTTTGTCGTCTCGGTGATCAGAAGCTTCAATAATCTATGTTTTTGTTTTCTTTTTAAGAAAGGGTAAAGTGAAATTCCCTTGAGCGCCATAGCGCGTAATTAGTTGGATTAGAAATTTCGAAAAGCAATGTCTTACTCTTCTTAGTGTATACAAGATGAAAAATCAACCAAGGGGTGGCATCAGGTAGTAAAGTGGGGGAGAAGGAAAACGATACTCACGCGCCGCTTTGGAAATAGCTGTTACTTCCGGCTCGAGTGGCCTGAGGGCCTCGGCGGGATGGGTGCCCGGGGGTGCGGCCTTCACAGCTCGCACCAACGCCTGGCACGCGCCCCACATCAGCTGCACCTCGCTCGCGTCCTTCTCGGCGTCCAGTCGTTCTGTAAAATTAAGTTTTCGTTACTCGGAAGTACTTAAGCCTGAAAAAGTACACGTATAGCAAATCCAAGAGCTCGGATACATCCCAAATACATCGATACTGCGACCTCGGCCCAGACACTGATGGTAATTACATCAATATTTTGGGGGCAAATTGCTGCCTCGACGATAATCGTAACTCTCGCCCGGGTCTGTTTACACAGCCTACGAGTACACAGCCACGTACACACAAGCGGTGAAAATTGATGCTCTTGCCACTTTGCGCACGTACGCGCGATACGTTTTGGCCGATTTCCGCGTGTAAACGCAGGAGACCCGGGGTAATCCATATACGTTTCGGGGTACGATCGATAGCTCTTTGATGCGAAGAAGACACGAGTTTTTGCGAGCCCACGCTGATTTGTTTTTCAGCATTTCGTGTAATCTTACGTGAATCGCGAGAGTGACTTGTTCGAAAAGCATTGAAAAACCTCTCAAAGTGACGTATAGTCGGCGGAAAAATATTGCTGCAGCTGGAAGCTTCACGCGTCCGAAAAACTGGAAAATCCAAGTGTCCCTAGAACGCTATAGAAATGAAATTCAAGGTAAAAAAGGGGAGCTAGACATCCCTCGTAAAAAATTACAAGCGCGAGAAGTCGCAGGAGAAAGGGACGACGACAAACCACCCCGAGGCTCCGGGAGGGGCAGAAAAAAAAGACAGCGTTTTTCGCGTAATCCGGAAAACCCACGGAGCCACTCCTTCGGGGCGTAATGTGCACACAGGACCGAGGAAGAAAACTGCATTTCAACTGCACACGAGCGGCAAAAAAGAGCCAGCCAGCCGGACCGTACACGCGCGTGCACAAAGAACCCGCGGCTCCTTCGCGGGATGCATTTTGCTGCAGCAGCTGTGCTCTTTTTTTTCTTCACCCTCTCTGTCCTTTTTTTGTTTTCCGGGCCGTCACTTTCGTTCGCCCCACTATATGCGCCGCGCTCGCTTTGTGTGCATTACACGCGATATTACTCGTTTTCTCGCTCCGGCGTGCTCTGAATATTCAGAGCGCGTCGAGTTGGGCGGGAGAGGAGAATTAAGGGGGATGAGCCAAGATGAGTTTCACCGACTAAAGTAAAGAGCGTGTGTGTGTATGTTTTTTTTTTTCCTCTCCTTAACATTGAGTTTGAGTAGTTTTGCCTCTGTATACCCCACCCTGTGAGTTTGGTTTTTTTGGCCAGTAACATTGTTTTCGGACACGCGTCCTTTCCCGTTGCACAAGAAAATCGTTCTCCGTTTGCGTAAAATGCATCCACGAGGGACTTTTCCTTGCCCCGACTTCAAAGCAAACTTTGTGGTCCGTTGCGCGCGAAAAGGGGAGATATATCTCGTGTCTTTCGAGGGTCCACTTTGCACTCGCGCGTAATCCGTGTCTATCCTTCACGTACCCAGAGACGTCCGTCTGTATTTTTGTCCCCTCCGTCGGAGCGGATTTTCGGACGAAAGCCGTGTTTTTCTCCCAACGGGGACCGCGAGACAAGAAGGCACGGATGAGCGAACTGGGCGTTCGAGCGGAACGGAGATGTCGAAACGGATGCATCTCAGGGAGCGCGGGGTGTCCGCCCACTACTTTTTTTTCTCGCCCCACGGACGCACAGTGCGAATTTTTTTTTTTTTTTTTTTTTTCTTTTTACTAGGTTTCGGGGTGAAATTTTCCCTAAAGGGTTTCCTTCTGAATCGTGTGGAACAAGTATATAAACTACCCTCGAGTGAAAACCCAAGCGAAACCTCAACTTGTTTCATTAAAATATTTACCGCGGACGGGAGGTGGAGAAAACTCAAAGCAAATTAACGCACCGTTTTCCACGGCCGCCAACGTGTTTGTGCAGTTCAAATATTTACAAAGCCAATTAATCCGCCAACTTGCGCGGGAATTATTCAACTTATTCGAGCAAAGAAGTGCACATCGGACCTTTTCCCCTTCGATTCGTGCTTAACCCCGTTTATTATACACGCATGTGCACGTCGACGCAATTAAAAGTAATGTCGCTCCTTATTTTTAACAACAGGAGCAGGGAAGAATTTAGATTAATCTTTTGCAGGTACCCAATAACAATGGCATTGGGTCATGCGAACAATTGCAATTTGCACGAATCAGACTACTTATGTGTATAATTTTGTTTTATAAATCAACAACGAGGATTATAGACACGAGAGATCCCGTATACACGGGAGCGCCACGAGCACAGATCACCATCGATCAAAGTCATCGGTATATAAATAACTATTTGTCCAATAACCCATGTACACGCCTTAAACCTCGATACAACCTATACGCAAATCTGACGAGCTTGTCGCTTAGGCTATAATCCAATTGGCCGAGCGAGCCGTACCTTGTCTCGTCAAAGCTGCAGCCATACACACATACCTCCCCGAGGACGCGAGAATATACGTATACATGTATATACACGTGTAGCGTCATACGGTTACCAAGCTTGTTGGCCTTATTGGAAGGGGGGACGCGTTAATTCGCTATTGAATTTTCCTCGCGACTGGCTTGTAATCGTCGATGGCTCGAGCACGCTTCGTTGCGCGGGGAGCTACCGCTTAGTTAGTGCCCCTCCCATACGGAGGACGTGTCTTGTGATGCTTCGACGCGTGACGCCTCGTTGGCTTCCAATGACTGTGATATGGCCGGGGCGAGTGTGATGATGATTTGGAAAAAAAATACCGTTTCATGTATATTTATTTGCGGTATAACAAGCGCAAGGTGCTTTCAACAAAGTATACATATATAGCCTTGGTGACGCGATTTATCGGGTCGGATTAACGCGCAATGTCGGGTGGGTCGAAATATATATTCATGCGCGCAAATCCAAAGTGTTGTACGTGACGTGGGTTTTCCGAAAAATGCTTCTAGACGCGAGATATAAAAATTTCGCACTTTTCGCGCTGTCGGGAATAAGTGGTGTTCGCGAGGGAGGAGAAAAATTCGGAAAAAAGTAATACATCCTTCGTGATGCGGACGTGAACACGCGGTAGTACATCGACAGTCAATAAAAGCCATTTGCCTGACTCCACACGGACCTGTACTACTTGCACTTGTATCGCGTGTGAAAATATCTTCAGCAACCCTTTGGGAGAGATGACGTCGAAGAAGCATCTGTCGGCGCGAATAAAAGTGATTCATCCGTATCTCATGAGAAAAAGAAGTATTGTTTAATTGAAAAGTATTTTATTTTTGGGTGTACCAATATGTAACAATGGAATTTTAGCTAAAGCACCTTTTTTGGAATTCGATAGGCTGACAAAGACTCACAAGGTACAAGGGATTTTTTAAAGGTGTATATGATTTTACACTATTCTAGGGTGCGGATGAAAATTGAATTGTTTTTTATTTTCAAATTGAATAAAAAATATAACGGTTCCCGGGAAAAAACGAGTGAAAAATTTAACTTTCCCGAAAAAAAAAAGAAGAAAGTAATCAAGAAAATGTGGTTGATACGAAAATGCACACATGTGCCCATGAAGCGTGAATTTCATCCTGCATCAAAAACCCCCCACCCGGCATCGCCCGTTTTCGCGGCGTTGATCAAAACAATCCCTCCCGCAAATAAACAGCCAACCGCGCCAGAGCGAGCGCATAATCCGTCTAATCAAATTCGCGGGGTGGAGGTAAAATGCAAATTTCTCGCGCTGTGGGTATAATTTACAAGAGGCGGACGAAATTTATGGGCGCATTTTGATTTCTCGCATGCGAGCGAGTGCGTGGTGCAGAAGGGGCGACCTTTCCTCCACCCTTCTGTTTACGAGAAGGACCCGCTCCTGCGGATCGGATGATGTGTGTGTCATCTGTACACGTCTGATGAGGAAATGATACCGGATTTTTATGGCGATCGTTTGGGGAAAAAATTTCCGCTCGAATGTATAGTTGGATAACTTTTTCACTTTGGACTTTTATTGGTACAGAAACGAAGTAGCTCGGCGGGAGCTTTCAAAAGTTGCGAATTTCATTAAACTCCCCTCGGAACGAGTATATAGAGTGGTGGTGCACAAAAAAATCGGAAGTGGGTTTGGTTGTTTTTTTTATTTTTCCTTTTTCCCAAATGGATTTGGAAAGATAAATATTGCACGGTGGAACGAATTTTTTTCAGAGATGCCGCGCGAGTGGGAAGATTGTGATCGATTTTGATGTCTGGATAAGCTTCGTACATTTTTATTCGTGTACACACACACTTTGAACAATGAAAATTGATTTTCAATAGCTGCATATTATACGAAATGGAGTGTCACGTATGGGATGAAAAGTATTCGCAGTTTTCATTCATTTTTCTCGAGCGTAAAAATAATACAACGCAACTGCTCATTTACACGACTCATCGAGATCCGTGTGGTCGAAATATGCCTATACCACGTCGATGTAGATTAAACTCTTTATTCCTCCATAAATCTGATTCCACAGAGTCTTGGCACATAAAGAGACGCTTCACGCTCGGCACATCCGATAGAACCGTCGTCCCAATTTTAATATCTCCCCGCGCCCTTTTTTTTTTCATTTATAAGGAGACTAAAAAAAAATTTCCCTCGTCTAATTTTAAATACGACTTTCATCCGACGAGTCTCCCCTTTCAAGAACAAGTTAGCTCGGAATCTGAAATTCAGCGCTACGCCTCATAAAACTCGCATTCGTAAAAATTGCCACTCAAACTCCCACCTTTCACCTGCAGAGTCGCTCCGTGTGAGCGAAAAAGTCGCGTCGAACTCCCATCCCCCTCCTCTACCGCGCTATACCAATACGTACTATTTTTCAAAAGAAATGTCCGAGGATGCAAATCCATGCGCGAATGGTAATTTGAAAAGTTTTTCCCTATGCGCAACAATTCCTTTGCACCTACCTTCGGATTATGCGCAAAAAACAAAAGAGCACACGGTGCCGGAAACGCGAAAAGCTCGGACGCGGTGTACAGTCGCAGAGCTTGTAAAATTGGATTCCAAGTTTTCGGTTCCCGTGAACGGGTGCAAGGTTTTTTC